ACCTATCTTAAGTCTCCAGGTAAATACTCTAGCATCTAATTATAACTTTGTAGTGGTCAAGCATTTGCCAAAAGCCTAACCAGTAGGAAAGTTTATATATTAAGAGAGTTTTTGAAAATAAAAAATTAACCTATGTGATTACAGAGGCTGGCTAAGTCATCCTGAAGTCTGTATGTCCAATGGTCAAAAATAGAAGTTTATGGACAGGCTCAAACTCAAGGACATGGAAGAGATTTCTAAGTATTAACTGTGTCTTATAGTAAAGTACCTTTTAAAATTCATTTTTACATAATGTGTTATTTCACCTCTTGATCCAGGGATTGTTAAAAACCTCATTTCAAGTGTTTTATTTGAGAATTCTAATGATACTTTGTTTCAGTATTCTCTATTTAGGGGCTGGGGAGATGGCTCATGGAGTAAGCGCTTCCCTGGCAAGTGCAAGGGCCTGAGTTCAATCCCTGGTTCTGCCAAAAAAAAAAAAAATTCTCTAACCTATGTTTTTTCTTAATTTATATTCTCAAAATTTTGCTCTTATTTTCTGTAATCTTTATCTTAGTAGCTAAATTTTGGTTTTAGTTCATCATTCACATAATATTTTTTACATATTTATGTATGATGTGATGTTTGTTTCATGTATATTTGGACAATGATCATCTATCAATAACTGCTATATTCATCACTTTAGTCTTCTATTTATGCTGAATACATTTAAAATCCTCTTTTCTTTCTATTTTGATAGATATATTGCATTACTGTTATCATTGTACACCCTACTATGCCATGGAACACAAAGACTTATTCTTCCTATCTAATTGTAACATTGAAGTCACTGAACAACCTTTCCATTTCCTCCCTCCTCTATACTCTGGTAATCATTTTCTAGTCTCAGCTTCTGTGAGGTCAACTTTTCAGTTATAAATGAAATCGTACAATGTTTGTCTTTCTCTGCCTGGATTATTTTACTTAACAATAAGGCCTTCCAGGTTTAGCCATTTTGTCAAAAATAACATAATTTTATGTGTTCTTAAATAGCTAAGTAGTATTCCATTATAGATTGTTAGATATACAGATAGATAGATCAAATATTATTTATCCATTTATTCATTGGTAGACATTTACATGGATTCCATGTGCTAGCTACTTTGAATAATGCTGTATTAAAGAGTAATGTTTTCTCTTTAACATGTAAGCCAAAAAATCTCCTGAGAAAAATTTCAAGAGAAACAATAAAGTCAAAATACAATTTACAGAACAAGAGAAAATATTTGCCTTTACATCTGAGAAATATCCAGAATATATAAGTACAATTCAAATGCATTAAAACTCAAATTAATAATGGACTAATCATCTAAACAGATGTTTATTAAAATGGCACCATCAAATGACCTGTAAGTATCTGAAAGCTTTAAATCACTAATAATCAGAGAAATGCAAGTCAGAATGATACGGAAATATCACCTCAACCAGTTTGAATGGTTGTTATCTACAGATAAAGAATGAATGCTGTCAACATTGCAGAGAAAAAACAATTCCTTTTAAAACTAGTTTTACTGTTACACTTTTGGCATTCATAATGATCATACTCACCATAGCACAAGAGTGCCTATATGTAATACACCTTAATTCCTTTTTTTCTTATTCTCTTTACTTCCCTTTAGTACTTTTCTTCACTTTTCCTTTGCAAAAGTTTGTTTTTGTTATTTTACTTCCATTCTTTTTTATCTCTATTCCCTCTCTTCGCTTTACCCTCCCCTTCACTTGTTTCCCTTCTCGTATGAACACTTTCTTCCTACTTGGCAATACTGATCATCCGTTTTGGTCTTCATTTACCCTCTGTGTTTCTCACACAAGAGAAACAATGCAATATATGAACATATGTGTCTGAATCATTTCACTTAAAATTGTATTCTCAAGATATATCCATTTACCTTAAAATGTCTTATTTATCCATTTACTTTAAAATGTCAAATTTATTAATTTGACTTTTTGTCAGGGCAGTGCCCTGTTGTATATAAAAACCACATGAGAAAAGGAATTCTTGTACATTATTGGTGGGAATATAAATAAATATTGCTATTATGGAAAACACTCATGGAAGTTCCTCAAAAAATCTAAAAATAGTACTGCCTTATTGTCCAGCAATCCCACTAGTGGGCATACACCAAGAGGAAATATAGCTAAGACCTTATCCATTTCCACTAAATTTCTTTAGTAAAATTCCTAGAAAGAAATTATTGAGTCAAGATTAATGACCTTCTTATATTATGAAGCTTTTACTATTTTACCAAGTCCTTATCCCAGAAAAGCTGTACTAACTTATACATTATCCTAACAAAGCCCTGTATTTTTCTTTTCTTAGGCTTTGAAATTTCTGAAAACCAGAAGCGGCAGGCTGCAATGACTGTGAGAAAAGTCCCTAAACAAAAAGGTAAATCTTGCTTTTACCACTTCAAACCCACTTGCTTTCTGGGTGAAACTAGAAAGCTGTAAACTATGTGCTTTTATATTTCTTGGCTCTTTTTCACATTAGTGTACTGCTTGAAGTGGTGGAATAGTTCCCAGCTACCCAGGCATCCCTGAAACCAGGAAGCAAATGGTCATAAAGGCTTAGTGCTGAGGAATGAATGGTATTTAGTAGCTATGTCCAAAGATAGATCATTGTGAGCAAGAAAAAAAAAACCCTCCTTTTCTTTTTATTATTATTTCACATTAGGGAAATGTTCTTAATAATTTAGAGACAGAAAACAGTAAGTATATATGATTTATTCAGTAAATATTAATATATAGATATATATATGTTCAGCTCTTTTTCAGTGATTCAGGGGCAGTAGAGCTTCAAATTAAACTGGAAGAAGAATCAGATAGTTTTTACCTTTCTTCAGGCCATAAACTGAAATACTTAACATACCTAGTGAATTACTGTCAAATCAGGTGCAAGATAAGGATGTCCTTTATCATCAGCCCTATTCATTATAGTTCTGGAATCATTAGCTAGAGCCATTAGACAAGAGAGAGAAATAAAAGGAATAAGAATAGGTAAAGAGTTTAATATCATTATTTACATATGACATGATACTGTACTTGGAAGACCAAAAGAACTCCACCAAGAAGCTCCTAGAATTAATGAAAAAAATTTGGTAGCATAGCATGTTACAAAGTCAATAGCCAAAAAATCAATAGCATTCCTCTACACAGACAACACACTGAGAGAAAAATTAGAGAAACAATATACTTCACAACAGAATTCAAAAACTTGAAATACCTAGGAATTAACTAAGGAAGTAAAAGATCTATAAAATGAAAGTTACAGTACTCTGAAAAAAAGAGATCAAAGAGGATTTCAGAAAATGGAAAGACTGGGCCGGTGAGATGGCTCAGTGGAATAAGCACTTCCATGGCAAGCGCAAAGGCCTGAGTTCAATTCCCAGTTCAGCCAAAAAAAAAAAAAAAAGGAAAGATATTCCTTGCTCCTGGATAGGAAGAACCAACATATTGTTTGGAAGAACCAACCATTTTTGGCCCAAAATTGTTATACAGATTTAGTGCAATCCCTACCAAAATACCACCAATGTATCTTGCAGATCTAGTGAAAACATTTCTAAAATTTATTTGGAACCAGAGAAGACCTAGAATAGAAAAGGCAAAATTGAGCAACAAAGGCAAGACAGGAAGCATTAGAATCTCCTACTTGAAATTATACTACAAAGCTACTGTGATAAAATCAGCATGGCACTGGCAAAAAAAAACAGACCCAAGGATCAGCGGAACAAATTAGAAGATGGAGATAAAGCCACAAATACATTCAGCCATCTTATCTTTGACAAAGTGGCCAAACATGTTCACTGGAAACAGAGCCTCTTTAACAAATGGTACTGGAAAAACTGGCTCTCCACATGCTGAAAATTGACTAGACCCAGGTCTATCACCATGCACTAACCTAAAGTCAAAATGGATTAAAGATCTAAACTTTAAAAGAGAAACACTAAAACTCCTGAAAGAGAAAATAGGTGGAAATCTTGACGAAACAGGAGTAGGCAAATAGATCATGAACAAAAATCAAACTGCATGGAAAATACTTCAAATATAAAATAAAGTATTATTTTCTCTTTGTTATGAACCATAACAAAACTAAAATTCTCATCTGAACAAAAAGTAAATGTTGGGGTGGGGATATAGCTCAGTGGCACAAGCACCTTCCTGGCAAGCACAAGGTCCCAAGTCTGATCCCCAGTATGGCAAAACACAACAAACAAACAAACAAAATAACCTAAAGGAAGTGTTACCTTGTGTTCATTTTAATGTCTAGCTAGTATTGCTCTCTTTTTAAATACATTCTTTCATTTTTATGAGAATCATCAGAAGGTGGTGGTCAAAATTAGCCTCACTTTTCAGATAAAGAAATTGAGGCTACTCATAGTGAACTGACTCTGAAAAAATCATTTTGACTTTAGGCCTACTGCTAATTTTTCCTGTCCAGTGCATGGTCCCACTGATGCCTCTGATAGTGAAAAAAGACATATCTCATGCCAATTACTGATAGTTATTTCTATTACTGACCATTGTTTTCACTGTTGTCAGAGGTGGGAGCTCTTAATAATACCTCACTTTCCCCAGGTCCTTTCCTCTGCATTCTCCGTGAGTTCTTTAGTTCTGAATGATTCACCTGAAAAATCAATTCCAAGCTTCCTTAAATTCCAACAGTCATATAACATACACTTAATTATTTCCCGTGAAGCCCTCTTTGATTGAGTAGATTGAGTGCTTGTGAATATCTGATTTCCAATTAAACAGTACACTTAGCTAGAGACATTCTGACTAGAAATACCATTTCTTTAACTGCTCATTAGTTTTTACTCATCTTGGGCCCTCACTAGTTCTTCATGATCACAATATGATTTCCCTTAAACAGGGAACAAAGTCAACCACCCCTGACCTTTTGTTTATGTGACAGACAGCATTACAAAGCAGGTGGAGTAACCCATGGTGGTGAAAGGTAACAAGTTATGTCTGAAAAATATGGAAGTTGATATCTTTCAGATCAGGTGTGACCTGTGAAGAGTTAATAGTGGGAATAGGATTTGTACTAACAGAACTCTGAGTTACAAATCTCCCCAGATGGAAATGTGAGCAGAAATGAGCCCTAGCCAGCTAGGGAGTCATTGTGCTGCACAAATGATGTTGTCCTAGCAGCCTGCCTTTATCTCCTGAGCCTCTCTCAACTTGACTCCTTTTATTGCCCCTAATACAGTGACTCACATGATGGAATGATGTTCATCTATCCCAGACAAGTTTCCTTCAAGAGTATCTTCTATTGACTGGTCCTTTCACTGAGTATACTTTAAACATAGGAACATCTAAAAAGCACCTAATCAAAGGATAGTCCTGGTAGCTTATACCAAGCCTTTCTGTTAATTTCTTTCCTCACTCTGTCTAGGTTGTCCCTTATAGATCCTCTATATTGTCTACTAGTATCTGAATAGCTTTCTTATCTTAATCTTTAAGGAAACTCATATAGTTTTAAATTTCCTAGAAGTCCTGTGAATCTTTCCTCACATTTCTGTTTCTGACCTTAAAGAACATCCTATTCTAGGTATATAGTGATTTATGTGTTTCTGAGACTCAAGAAGGTCATATATGGAAGCAGTTGTCAAACAGTAATTCAGTAGTTACAGCATATTCAATGGGGAGAGGATAAAGAGGTTTTTCAGAGGTTAATAGAAACTTAATCCTTCCAACCACACATCTTTATAAATGATGGGAGGGCTTCTGTTAAAATTTTTCCAATGGAGATGTTGTAGGTTGGATAGTTACTCTGGTGTCCCCTTCTAATGATCTAAAACATGTGACATTACCAACTCAGGTTATTGCCCTAAGGGAGAGGATGTCTAGCTGGGAAAGTAGCTGAGAGGAACCAGTCTAGCTTTAAGAATGGCTTTTTTCACTTTACATGTGCCTTTCACACTGCCTTGCTTTTAAGAATTATATAAGAATTGCCTCAGAACTAAGAGTTTATCAACATAGAGCCTCCCAGTGTCATAAGGAGAGGCTCCACCTCTAAAGGCTTTAGAGCCAGCTCAAAATTAAGTGAGTTCTCCACAATTAGTAAAATAATTTTGAAAAAGAAAAATGGGATCAATTAATACAATTTCAATATTAAGTAGGTATTGTAATCAAGGCAGTGTGATTTGGGTAGGAGGAGACACATGTCATAGAATCATGAATCAGAACTCAGAAATAGACCTACACATATGTGTAATTTCTGACAGAGTAGTGAACACAGTTTGGTAGAGAAAGAGGCCTTTTCATAAAATGGTGCTAAAGCAGTTTCACTATTATGGGGAAAAATTGTTAGCCTAAAATTTTGTTTTGTAGCAAAAACTAAATAAAAATTGACCATGGTATTGAATGTGCTACTTTAGAATGCGTAGGAAAAAAATTGTCTTCAGGATCTAGGGCTAGATAGAGGGGTTCTTAAAGAATAAAATAAAATATGGATAATGGGTATCTCCTTCCATAATATCTTCATATTTTCAGTTGGCATACCCTTATGTTTATGATACTTGCTCTTTCAAAACTGGCTGTTAGAAGAGAGTCTGATCCTATCCACATGATTGCCAGTGGCTGATAGTGGCTTCATATTATACTGCCTCCAGAGTAATGGGATCAAGTAATCAAAAGCAAAGAAGCTTTAATATTAGAATTTTAGACACTGGCTAGCAGATAAGGAAAGTATTGGAAGCATCCAAGAGGCCTTTTTTCATATCTGAATCGCATGTTGTATGCCTCATTCTGTTCTGCTTTGATATAGATCAAAATTGAACTTTTACTTTAGGCCTTACCTCCTCATCCTGGTTCCTGGAATCCTCTTTTAATTTGGTCCTTCAGTTTGCTGCCTTCAGACCCAGCTACAAAAAGTGAAGATTTCAAATCTTAATGTCATTGAAGCTGTTTCCTTTGAAAGGTCCCAAATTTCATGAATTATATATTCTGGTGATGTGTTTGGTTTTTTAAACTCAACTACAGATGCCAATTATCTGTTAACTGGAAATTTATCAGTTTCAACCAAGACAGAACATTAATTCCTTATGTGTTTTAAGAAAAAACAATTCCAACTGAAGACCTGCCCTGAAGCTCGTGGCTCTTCACCACTATCTTGACACTATCAGGGGTAGTTAGAGATGGAGAAAACCAAAGTCTTTTTTTCCAGAAGTGGAGATCAAACTCTGAACCTTTCACTTGCCAGGCAAGCAATTTTGCCACTGAGTTATCTCCCCAGCCCTTAGTCTTTTGCAATTAAATGGAGCTTGTCAAGTACTTTGCAAAATCAAAATCAGCTTGAAGAATGATGCTTTCTTTGAAAGAGCTCTGAACTGAGAAGTCAAAGAATGTGGGTCATAGCTCTTGCTTTGTCACTAACTTACCATAGTATCTGAGACATGACTTTTATGTCTAGGTCTCAGTATCCTCATCTGTAAAACAGCTGATAGTAGCATCCTAGATTTCTAAGTGATACTGATTAGATGGAGAAAAGTGTGATATTTCAGTAAGAGCCACGCCATTTCAAAATCTGTTAGAGAAACAGTTTGGAATACAGGTTTGAATATCCCTTATCCAAATTGCTTAGCATGTCAAATTTCAGAGTTTCTTAGATTTATGAATATTTGAATACTTTCCTGATTGAGCATCCCTAATAAAAAATGCTGAATTCTGAAATATTTGGAAGGATGAAACATTTTTAATCTAAGGAAATTTTTATTTCAGTGTCTTTCAGATATCCCTATTAGGAATGCTCAGTCTATACCCGCTCAAATTCTAAATTAGACTATCTTGACTCTTTTACCCATAGGATCACTGGGTAATTTGAGAACCCTTCTGGTAATTAATTTATGGCCTTTCCCTTTGATTTCCTTTCTATAGGTGTCAACTCTGCCCGCTCAGTTCCTCCTTCCTACCCACCACCACAGGACCCGTTAAACCAGGCCCAGTACCTGGTCCCCGATGGCATCGCTCAGTCGCAAGTCTTTGAGTTCACCGAACCCAAGCGCAGCCAGTCACCATTCTGGCAAAACTTCAGCAGGTTAACCCCATTCAAAAAATAATACCTACAGGGAGGCAGATAATTTTAAAATAAACTAAATAAAATTATATTTATAGATGGACTTTTTCGGAGAAACACTGTTGAAAATATATATGTGTGTGTATATATACGTATATACATATATAGAAACATATGTAGACATATGTATACACACAAACCCTTGAATACACACACACATGCTTGTGTTGGCATGTGTGTACGTGTGCACATATCACACACACACATGCACACACACACACACACACACACACACACACACACAGAAGGACCAAAAACGTTTTCTGTTGTTTTTGGGTTGCAAAATCTATAGGTGGTAGGAAGAGGTACCAATGATTTCCAAACATGTGACTCCTTCTTAAAACTTTTTAATTCCTGCCTTGTTCCTATCCCCTTTTCTTTCAGAAGTTAACATTTCTATTTTTTCCTTTTCTTGTTAGAATACTCTCTGTGCTCCTTTGTGAGTGATTCATTGACTTTTCATTATTACCATATATGCATTTGTATTGGTTTTCTTCCTTCATGAAAATAGAGATGCAAATGACTTTTGACTTTAATTTGATGTGGTAGGTTTGGGATTACTTTCTTTCACTTTTTACTGGGGAAAGAGAAGATCCCCATTTCCTCTCCTTCAGCCAATCATGTGTGAATGTTCCTGTATCCCTGCAGTTTCCCCAAATCTGCCTTTACCTAGCATCCTCCGTCTATAGTCCTGCTAGTCAGGACATGCTCCTTAATGCCATGTGACATAACTGCTTAGTATTTCTATTGCTTTCACTGTATTTTAGGTGTTGAGGAAGGATATCAAGTCAAACAGAAACAAGAGAGGACCAGAGTATTATGATGCAAAAGGAAAGTTCTGTTCAGGAAATAATTTTCATTTGGACTGTTTCTTATAACACTTGGGAGTTCCACATTATAGCATTTATGGGTTATTGAAGTTTTGCATATGGATATTAGTTTGGGCCAATTAGTCTCTTCAAGCTCCTTTTGTATGAATCTCCTCTTAGGCCTGCCCGTCCTAGCCCAATAGAAGATATGAATTGGAAGCAGAAGCTGAGACTCTGCCTCCTAAGGAAGGGATTTATCTCTGGCCCTTCGACAAGCACCAGTTAGATATAAAGCAGGGCTCCCTACAGCAAGCAATTTAGTGTTCTGGTCATCTCTGTTCCTATTTGCAGATTTTTAAGGCAGCATTGATAGGAGTCTATGGAGAGGTTCAAGACAGAACCCATCTGACCAAGATCATCAGCTGCCTTCAAATTATTGACCTGGACAGAGTCCATGGCTGACAGTAAAATAGGTGTGGTAAAAGGCAGGCTCGATCTAAGATATTATACCTGTAGGTCCTACCACCTCGGTTGTGTGAATCGTCCTCTATTGTTAGCAGATTGCATGGACAATCTTCTCTGGCTCCTTCCTTTCTTTATTTCTCTATCTTACTTCTTTCTCCTGCCCTCCTGACATAGAAGAAAGGCTGATATTGGCAGAGTTAAAGCAGTTCTGGTACTGGAAGATGGCCTTGTTTCTAACATCCTCCTATCCCAAGACATTTGTGGCCATTGAATATTGGAGTCCAGGGGTACGCTTCCCTTGGAACAAAAGATGTGAAACAGAGATACTATCCTCAGGATTATTTTAGCAGGCTTTCCACTAATTTCTCCCACAGGATCCCAATGGCTCTATCCTCCCTATATGGCCCTTTGCTTACTTTGACCATAATAGCAAAGAATAGAATATATAAAGGATTGAAGTTGGGCCCTGCTGTGGAAAGTCATTCCAGCCAGGAGTCAAGATTATGACTGCCCTGGATCCCATAGAAGAAGACTTCAGCATAAAGGACCCTAGTTTACCAAGCAGCAGCTGTAGTCGCATGAAGGTTTTGGCATAGTTGGTTTGGTTACTGCTTGGTGCTTTCTGACCCAGAACAGACCTTGCCTACCCTGGTAAGCTTTCTCCTGTGAGAATCAAATTACAAGCTTTTGAAGCTTCCATTCTACCAGATGAAGTCAGAATTATAGAGTTAAGGCAAGGACAAGCCTGATCTGAACAGAGAACTAGGGCTTGGTCTGACCACCACTGTATAGCATGTGACCTAGCTACTTAAGCCTAGCTACTTATTCCCTGGCAAACCTCCCTGGCAAGGCACCTTGTCCCCAGTACCCAGGCTAAAATTTACTCCCTTGGCAAACAGAGTATATTTCACTTTTTATCCAGGCCTCTATTTGTTATATTATTTTTCCTACTTTTCATTGCTCATTAGGTTCGGTTTTTCCATGTTTCCCTAGGGGTTGGAGGCACATCAGGCGTGGACACTTGGGTAGGTGCTTAAAGCATTTCTTAGCCAGACCTTCTTATCTGTTTCCCCTTCCTAGCCCTTTAACCCCAAAGCTCCAGGATCAGGAATATCATTTCTCCTTCTCCTTTACTTAACTCAGTGGCCAGTAATTTGCGAAAATGAAAGTTAGCTTTCTATTGATTGCAATGCCCCTATCATATAGCCGAAAAATAGACCAGTGGCCAATAGCCCAAAGAGGAGCCAGAGAGCCTATTAATTATTTGGGCTCAGTATCTAAACATGTTTTGACTTCACAGCAGTGCTGTCCTCAAGAACTGTATCACTCCATTTCTACATGAACCTCAGCTCCCCTTTCCTCAATTCAGTAAGGCCTGGATTTGCTCTTGAAATTTTTAGTATGTTCTATGGGGCCCAATATGGGGAAGTCCTAACACAGAAAAAAATGTCTTTCTCTCTCTTCTCCTTCTCTCTATATGTCTATATCTTTAATGGATCTATTAAGGATAACAACAAGAGAGTTCTGAAAATTCTAATGCAAAGCCAATTAGTGAGATTTTAGTGCTTTGGGGTAGGGTGGGCTGGGATTGATAGATAGGCAACAGTGATTTTGATTACCCCTACTGCTCTGCATTTGGCAATTTATTCTTCTGTTTCTACTGTTTGACTGTTTGACCCTCTTAAACAAGTGTAAGAGTTATCTGTTAAAAAATGTTTAACAACAACAAAAAAGATGTTGTAATGACACAAAGCCTTATGAAGATACTTATGGAGTTCAATAAAAAGTAAAAAAGACAGCTTCAGGCACAGCTCTTGTGTCATTTGTGTGGGTGTGCTTGTGTGTTTTATCAGTTGAAAATAAAAAAAAATTGCTTCTGTAGGATAGCTTACCCCAACCATGGCTTGTTTATCTGTTCTTGTTTTATCTGGTATTTTTATTCCATAATTTTATTGAGAAACAAATAGCAATGAGACAGCTTCAAACCAAATTGGTAGGACAGTTTCAATAATCAACACACTGCATACATTCTTCCCAGTGGTTAATTGCTGTACAAGATGCAGACATGATATCCTATTTACAAATACCATTAGAACAAATCCCTCTATTCATTAAGAGAATGTAATATTTATTTTTATATATTTATTTATTGTGGTACCAGGGATTGAACTCAGGACCTTGTGCTTGCCAGGCAAGCACTTATTCTACTGAGCTATCTCCCCAGGCCTAACAAACTTTAAAGGTCTATTCCTGAGCTTCCTCCTTTTTTGTTACAGCTACGAGTCCAATACTTAACCTGGGCATTCATGAGCACTGGCAAGTTGGCTTTTGAACCCAGTTAAAGGCCAGATCACTTAAGAATTTTTCACTTCATTTTTTACATCTTTTCCAACAGCTTTGGTCCTGCTTCCTAAGAGGTACTTTATCTAATCCTCAGAATGGATGGAGTGACCTTTATTATTCTTCCACCACAGTATTGCCTGATGCATGTAGTCCTTAATCCTTATGCTGCCTCTCAAGGACCCACTCGTGGATCTGTTCTAGCACTGCCTCAATTGCCTTTCTACAGAGCAACTGAATTAATAAACTGCTTATTTATTAAAAGGATCTTAATAATGTGGTCTATAGTCCAAGCTGTAAAGCTGGGAAGGGACAAATACTGTGCTTCTGTGTTAGAGTGTGAGCTCTACCTACCTATGCCTTGGAACACACACACACACACACACACACACACATATATATATATGCGCACATACACTGGAGAATATAATATTAAGCTTTCTTCACCAACTTTTCTATTTCTCAATTTTTTGGCTCTCATTTAGCTCCTACCTTTCTGTTATCCTTTCCATTTTCCCTGGAGTTTGCAAACTCTCACCATCAAAATCAGCAAAGTTCAACAGTCAACAGGCTTTTCTGCTTCTTATCAATTTCCAGGTTGCCCAGATTGCAAGAGAAAACACCAGTTACCTCTTTCAGAGTACAATAGTATCTGGTCTGAGTCTTCCCTGAATACAGTCCAAATGTATTAAAAGTGGGAAGGCAAATGTTAGGGGTCTTACTCTCTGGAATATGGCCAGAATGGGGTACCTATAAGGTGCTATAAAATCAAACACATCAACAAAATAAATATTTATCCAAGTCCTAATATGTTCTACATAGTAAATCAAAATTTCTTATTATCAAAAAGAATGACATCACTATTTACAGTTATCTGCTAGACACATGTACCTCCTTCTTGCCCTTCCTATTTTACAAAGTAAAATATATTCTCTCAAAAGTGTCATTTGTGTCTCTAATTTATAATTTACTTGAGTGAAAACTTCCTTGAGAATTTGAGACCCCTAAACCCTTCGGAACACAGACCAGGCCCTGATTGTGAGTGAGAACTACCAAGAGATCTCAGGACCCCTCCAGACCAATTCCAAGTCCAGGCCAAGTGAGTGTGTGGGAGAGATTCTGTGCCCCGCTGCACCTGCTGGTTCCCTCCGGACACAGCCCAGGCCTGACATGTGAGTGACAACTTCTGACGAGCTCTCTGGACCCCTGCACACCATGACACAGCCCAGATCCAGCTTCTGAGTGAGAACTTCTGAGAAACTCTCAGGACCCATCCAGCCCAGGCCCAGTGATTGTATGGAAGAGCTTCGGCATTCCCTTGTGCTACTGGACCACTCAGGACACAACTCAAGCCCGATATGTGAGTACATCCACTGCGCCCTCAAACCCCTCCAGACTGAGCCCAAGCCCACTTATACAGCAGGTAGAAGCTTAGCAGAAAAGACAGGCACAACTGGGTGAACTCAAACTTCATAGTTCTGCACCTGAATTTTAGTAGGTACTAAGGTTATCACTGCCACAAAG